ATTATAATCATCAGCATCATCGTCAGATCAGCCCGCGTTGACTTCAAGTAGATAGGAGGACATGAGGAGGACGAGAGGAGGATGGGAGGAGGACGAAAGGAGGATGGAAGCAGGACGGGAGTAGAACAGGAGGAGCAACATCAAGCAAGCGTAAGCAAGCAAGCGCAAGCAAGCAAGCGCAAGCAAGCAATAACAAGCAAGCAAGAGCGATCAAGTGCAAGCAAGCAAGGGCAAGCAAGAGCAAGGAAGCGAGAGCAAGCACGCAAGAGCAAGCAAGCAAGTGCCATTGGAGAAAGGGGGGGTGCCATTGGAAAAAGGGGGGGCATTGGAAAAAGGGGAGGACCCTAAAGACCAATTACCTATGATGGGCTAGGACTCCTATAGGGCAGGCCTATTCGGATGTTACTCTTCTTCATCATCGTCGCAGATCATCATCATCAGCAGGAACCTCATCATCGTCATCATCATCATCAGCAACATCAACGTCAGCATCATCATCAGCCGCATCACAGGACTCACCGGTAACAGCCTCATCATCGTCAGCAGCATCATCATCGTCATCATCCTCATCAGCATCATCATCACAATCATCGTCATCATTATCAGCATCATCATAATTATCATCCTCATGATCGTCATCAGCAGCAGCATCGTCATCATCATCACAATAATCAGCATTATGATCATCAATATCATCATCCTCAGCAGCATTAGCATCAGCATCATCATCATAGTCATCAGCAGCATCATCAGAGTCAGTCTCAGCATCATCGTCATCATCGTCTGCAGCATCATCATGATTGTTACCATCATCCACAGCATCCTCATCACCCTCATCACCATCAGCAGCAGCACCATCAACAATCCTCATCATCAGCAGCAGCATCATCATCCGCATCATCATCCGCATCATCATCAGCATCCTCAGCATCACCATCATCATCATCATCAGCAGAAGCATCATCATCAGCCTCCTGATCCTGCTCCTCATCTTCCTCCCCCTTCTGCAGATCGTCCTCAACCCCCCTCTCCTCCTCCGCCTCCTCCTCCTCCTCCTCATCCTGATAACCAGCATCATCAATACCATCATCAGCAGAATGATCATCAGCATCCTGAGCATCCACATCCTGATCGTCGTCATCATCCTGATCAGCAGCAACATCAGCATCATCATCAGCACCACCCACTGCCTTATCATCATCAGCTGCATCATCATCGTCGTCGCCATCTTCATCAGCATCAGTATCATCGTAGCGGTCACCGTCATCAGCATCATCAGCAGCATCATCAGCAGCATCGTCAGCGTCGGCAGCATCATCACAATCCGCATCAGCAGCATCATCAGCAGCATCCGCATCAGCATCCGCATCAGTATCATCACCAGCTTCATCGTCGTCGCCACCATCACCAGCATCATCCTCAGCATTCGCATCATCCGCATCAACGCAATCGTCACCACCACCATCAGCATCACCACCATCAGCATCGTCATCATCAGCAGCGGCATCATCATCGGCATCATCGCCATCATCGCCAACATCGCTAGCATCATCATCATCATCAGCAGCAGCATCGGCATCAGCCTCATCAGCATCGCCAGCAACATCATCAGCATCACCCACAACAGCATCAGGAGCATCACCATCATCAACAGCAGCATCATCAGCAGCAGCACCATCAGCATCATCGTAATCAACATCATCGTCAGCAGCAGCAGTATCAGCAGCATCAGCAGCAGCAGCCGCATCAGCAGCAGCAGCATCCTCATCATCATCGTCATCAGCATCATCGTCCTCATCGTCATCATCGTCAGCATCATCATCATCATCACCATCGTCATCATCATCATCCTCAGTATCAGTATCATCGGCATCATCATCCACATCAGCGTCATCATCATCATCATCCACATCAGTACCATGATCATCATGATCGTCCTCACCATCATCATCATCATCATCATCAGCATCATCATCATCATCATCATCAGTATCATCATCGTCATCATCGTCACCATCGTCAGCATCGTCATCATCGTCAGCATCATCATCATCACAGCCTTCTCACCATCGTCATCCGCATCACCAGCATCACCCGCAACAGCATCAGCATCATCACCATCATCAGCAGCAGCATGATCGCCAGCATCAACAGCAGCAGCCTCATCATCAGCATCATCGTAATCGTCATCATCATCAGCAGAAGTATCATCAGCATCAGCAGCATCAGTATGATCATCATCATCAGAAACATCAGCAGCATCATCATCATTGTCATCAGCAGCAGCAGCAGCATCGTGGTCATCATCATCATCATCAGCATCATCATCATCATCATCATCATCATCATCATCATCGTCAGCTTCATCATCATCATTGACATCACCATCCTCAGTATCGTCAGCATCATCATTATCAGCATCATTATCTCGTCATAGTTATCATCATCGTTAGCACCATCATCAACATCATCAGCATCATCATCACAACCTCATTAGCATCGTCAGCAGCATCATCAGCATCATCCGCAACAGCATCGGCATCAGCATCGTCACCATCATCAGCAGCAGCATCATCAGTGCTATCATCATCATCAGCAGCAGCAGCAGCAACATCAGCATCAGCATCAGCATCATCATCATCAGTATCATCATCACCACCATCATCACCACCACCATTATCATCAGCAGCATCAGCATCACCATCGTCAGCAACATCATCAGCAACAGCATCCATCTGCCTCATCCTCCTCATGCTCCGCTTACTCCTCACTGGGAGAGCGAGAGAGAGAGAGAGAGAGAGAAAGAACGTAAGAAGGAAAAGAGAAAACGACAACGGCGTACGCAGAAGGTAAAATCATGATTTGAGACAAAAAAAGATGGTGAAGTGGAGTCACACAGAGGATAGAACGGATGAGGAAGTGAGGACGAAGACACACGATGAACATTTACTATCTCTCCTCATCCTTCTCCTCATTTCTGTTTTTCCTCGTCCTCCTCCTCCTCATTCCGCCTCCTCCTTCTCCTCCTCCTCCTCCTACTCACTCCTCCTCCTCCTCCTTCTCCTCTTCACCCGTCCCGTCCTCCTCTTTCTACCCCTCATCTGATGAAGAGAGTGCGGAAGATGAAAGGGGAGGGAGATGGAAGGAAACGAAGAGGAGGATACTGCATAGGCAAACTCCGATGATAATGAAAGCTTCATCCACAGCAAATGCATTGAGGGGAAAGCGAAGAAGGAATGGGATAATATTAAAAACAAGCTAAAACCGCCCAGGCCTTTATTCAAGCTGGCGCCCCTCCTCCTCCTCCTCCTCCTCCTCCTCCTCCTCCTCCTCATCATCATCATCATCATCATCATCACCACTATCACCAGCATCATCATCAGCAGCAACATGCCACCATCACCATCACCATCAATAGAATCATTATCATAATCAACACCATCATCAGCAGCAGCAACATCATCGTCACAATCAACATCACCATCATCATCGCCATCACCATCATCAGCATGGCCGTCTTACTCATCTTCGTCATCATCCCCATCACCATCACCACCACCACCACCACCATCATCATCATCATCATCATCATCATCATCATCATACTCCTCATCATCATCACCATCGTCACCATAGCCATTGCCACCGTCATCATCGTCATCGTCATCGTCATCATCATCACCCTCATCATCATTATCACCATCATCATATTACCACCACCACCATCACCATCATCATCCTCATCATCGACACCACCATAATCATCATCCGTATTCATCATGATACTCAGCAGCAGCATCAGCAGCACCATCAGCATCAGCATCATCATCGTCGTCATCCCCACCATCATCATCAGCATCATCAGATTCATCATCACCATCGTCATAATCAGCCTCATCCTCATCCTCAGCATCATCATCACCAGTATCGTCAGCATCATCATCGTCATCATCACTCTCATCCCCATCATCATCATCATCAGCAGTATCATCATTGCCATCCTTCTATCTCTCACACTCTCCTTCTCAAACTCTCCTCCTCCAACCTTCCTCTTCCTGCACCAACCCATCCGTCTCGTGTTCCTCCTCGTTGCTCGCTTCCACCTCGAGCTCCTCCTCCTGCTCCTCCTCCTCCTCCTCCTCTTCCTCTTCCTCCTCCTCACATCCTCGTTCGTCTCCTTGCCATCATCATCATCAGCAGCAGCATCAGCATCAATGCCACCATCATCGCCATCATCGTCATCAGTATCATCCTCGTCAGAACCAGCCTCATCAACCTGATCAGCATCATCAACCAGAACATCAATCCACTCATCTTCAACAGCATCATCAGCAGAAGCAGCAGCAGCACAATCGGGCTTCTCGGTGTTATCATCATCGTCAGCCTCCTCCTTATCATCCTCTGCATCCGCATCACCCTCCTCATTGTGTTCTCGGGCTCCTCCTCGTCCTCCTCCTCCTCCCTCCTCCCTTTTCCCACCTCCATTCTCCCTCCTCCCTCCTCCCTCCTCCCTCCCTCCTCCCTCCTCCCTCCTCCCTCCTCCTTCCTCCCTCGCCTCCTCCTCCTCCTCCTCCTCCTCCTCCTCCTCCTCCTCCTCCTCCTCCCCCCTTATTCACCTCCCTCCTCCTTCGCATCCTCCTCCTCCGCCTCCTCCTCCTCATCATCATCATCATCAGATTCCCTCCTCCTCTCTGGCGCGGATCGTCAGGACCTAACAGTAACGTTGATTCGCGGCGTTGAAGTCGCAGAAATGGTGCATTGGCATGGTTGGAGATTTTCAGACGGTTCTGCGACGGGCCACTTCCTGCAGCAAAAAGAAATGACTGCAGGGACCTGTGAAGAGTGAACTGGAAGGGAAGGTTTATTGCAGCATCGTTGGTGAATCTTGGGTTTGCACTGGTTCTCCTCCTCCTCCTCCTCCCTCCTCCTCCTCCTCCTCCTCCTCCTCCTCCTCCTCCTCCTCCTCCCGAGGCCGCCCGTGGTGCTGCTCAGCCCCAGTCCTCGTCCGAGTCGGGCTCGTCCCCATCATCCTTGGGCCGCGGGGGAGCGCGGCGCTGGGAGAGTCCCCGGAGACGGCCTGAAGACCCCCTCCCGCTGGCCAGTGTGAGCATGCAGGTTGGCACGGCCCGAGCTGCAGACCGCTCTGCCGATGCCTGGGCATCGCCGGTTCGACGCCTAGGCATCCCCAGGTCGATGCCTAGGCATCCTCGGTGCGCGCCTAGGCATACCCATGCGGATGCCCAGGCATCAACAGTGGCACGCCAGGCATGCGACGATGGTGCTCAGGCATCTACGCTGGGGGATTCAAGGTAATGGCTGGGCGCAAAGCGAGCGGGCCGACCCAACATATAGGAGCACGGGGCGGGGAGCTGCCCTAAGGGCCTGCCCGAGGCATTCGGGTAGCCTACTACCCTCGACGAGAATGGACCTCAGAATGTGTCACGCAATCTCCCTGTCGTGCGCGCGAGGTGCTTGTCGGCGCCCCCTCTCCAATGTCGGTCATCGTGGAACTGCCGAGTCGCAACCGCCCAGGCCGCGCTTCGCTCCACTTCGCATTGAAAGGGGCGACATTGAAGTGGCGCGTCCACCGCTTTTTAAGATGATTTATCAGGGACGCACTGACTCGGGTCAACCCAAACCCGGGTCAGTCGGGCTTTGCAAGAACCTGCAAAATCTGGCAGGATCCGGCAGGATCCTGCACGTAAGCCGGGGTCACTGCACCTCTGACTCTGCAGGATCCTGCAAAATCTGGCGCCCTGGCTGAACCCTCCGTTCGCCGCGCCCCGCATCCAGTCCCGGGCTGTAGGGCCAGGCCTGGCCGAGGCCCCTCGGACCCAGGGGCAGGCCGCGGGGGACAGGGGGCAGAGGCGCGGGCCCCAGGCGGGCTGAGGGGCGGCGCTGGGCGCCGCCGCGAGGCTCTTGGGGAGGCCGCCTCCCCCCCCCTCCCCCGAGGCCACATCCCCTGGGAGGTCGTCGGTTCCCTGCCGCCGCTTGGACGTCTGGACTTAGGTCGGGCATTTGGTCGAAAAAGAGAGCGTTCTCCAAAAACATTGTAAAATTATCCCAGTGCGACCCTACCTAGGAATTGGAGCCCCTAGGAATGCAGCATTAGTAGTAAGAGTAAAGCTACGCTAAAGCTAAGCTAAAGCTAAGCTAAAGCTAAGCTAAAGCTAAGCTACAGCTAAGCTAAAGCTAAGCTACAGCTAAACTAAAGCTAAGCTACAGCTAAGCTAAAGCTATGCTCAAGCTAAGCTAAAGCTAAGCTGAAGCTCTGATGAAGCCAAGTTAAAGCTAAGCTAAAGCTAAGCTACAGCTAAGCTAAAGCTAAGCTAAAGCTAAGCTAACTCTCAGCTAAATCTAAGATACAGCTAAGCTCAAGCTAAGCTAAAGCTATGCTCAAGCTAAGCTAAAGCTAAACTGAAGCTACGCTGAAGCTAAGTTAAAGCTGAGCTAAAGCTAAGCTAAATCAAGCTAAAGCTAAGCTAAAGTTAAACTAAAGCTAAGCTACAGCTAAGCTGAAGCTAAGCAACATCTATGCTAAAACTAAGCTAAAGCTAAGCTAAATCTAAGCTAAAGCTAGGGTCAAGCTAGAGTCAAGCTAAGATCAAGCTAAGCTGAAGCTAATCTAAAGCTAAGCTAACTCTGCGCTAAAGCTAAGCTACAGCTAAGCTAAAGCGAAGCTAAAGCTAAACTACAGCTAAGCGAAATAGGAGCTAAAACTAAGCTACAGCTAAGCTCAAGCTAAGCTCAAGCTAAGCTAAAGCTAAGGTAAAGCTAAGGTAAAGCAAAGCTAAAGCTAAGCTAAAGCTACGCTAACGCTAAGCTAAAGCTAGACTACAGTGAAGCTAACGCTAAGCTAAAGCTAAGCTAAAGCTAAGCTAAAGCTAAGCTAAAGCTAAGCTAAATCTAAGCTAAATCTACGCTACAAATAAGCTAAATCTACGCTAACGCTAAGCTCAAGCTAAGCTGACGCTAAGCTAAAGCTAAGCTAAAGCTAAGCTAAAGCTACGATTAAGCTAAGCTCAAGCTAAGCTCAAGTTAAGCTAAAGCTAAGCTAACGCTAATGTCAAGCTAAGGTCAAGCTAAGCTACAGCTAAGCTCACGCTAAGCTAAAGCTAAGCTAAAGCTAAGATAAAGCTAAGCTACAGCTAAGCTAAAGCTAAGCTAACGCCAAGCTAAACTTAAGCTAACGTTAAGCTACAGCTAAGCTAACGCTAAGCTAACGCTAAGCTAAAGCTAAGCTGAAGCTAAGGCTAAGCTAAAGTTAAAGCTCAGCTAAAGCTAAAGCTCAGCTAAAGCTAAAGCTAAAGCTAAAGCTAAAGCTAAAGCTAAAGCTAAAGCTCCCAGGGGAGTGGGGGAACCGCGGGGCGGATGCCGGGGGAACCGCCCAGGGCGGGTTACACTGCCCGGCCCCTTTAAGCCCACAGGGTAAGAACCCTTCTAGGCAGAGCCTAGGTAGGGAATCATCAACGTTAGTGAAAAAACGTCCCCAGACTATCTTTGAACTTTGTTCCTGTAGAGGGACCTGCCCGACTGAAGTCTGGACGCTTGGGGTCGGTTCGGGATGTTCTGGGGCGGCCTTTCTCGGGGGCCCGCCTCCTCGAGGAGAGGGCGCTTTTCCTCGAGCAGTGGCGGCCCCCCTGCGTGGTGGCCCCCCGTGGCAATGCTCCCGGCAGGCCCGCCGGGGCTCCACGCTTGGTGCGCGACTCGCGGCAGGCGCGGCGGCGGCGGAGCAAGGCCCAGGGAAGCGGTCGACAGGTCGGGGGCTCGTGTCTCGAGAAGATCGAGACGCTGCGGGGGGAAGATCCAAAGACAACGAAACAATGCACAAACACAAACTTCCTTGGGCCCGCCCCGACTCGGGGGCGACGATGGGGGCGAATACCCCGGGGGAGAACAATACATGCATCCGGGGGCGCCGATGGTCCATGCCTTCGGCGAGGTTCCCGGGCGAATGCGCGCAATGCCCTCCTCCCCTGGGCGAACCGGGAAATTGACGATAATAAACCCCTTTGGGATAATAAACTTCGCGGATCCCGCGGGGGTGATGCAGGATTTTCCCGGGGAAGGTAAGTTATGATGATGATGATGCTGATGATGATGATGATGATGATGGTGGTGACAATGATGGAGGAGGAGGAGGTTAAACCAAGCGCACGACAGAAGCCTGACTCGAGCGATCTCGAGGCTCCTTGCTACTTGCTCGCAGAGGCGCACTACGCAGAGATTACTCGAGAGATCTCGAGGCTCGTGGCTACTTGCCCGCAGAGGCGCAGGACACAAGGCTGACTCGAACGATCTCGAGGCTCGTGGCTGGGCGCCTAGATTCTGCCACCGCTAGAGAGGTCCTTGGCCGGTCTGGCCAAGAAACCCCCCTTGCGCTGGATATCGAACCACTCCCACGCAAGCACGGGATCCATTGGAGCCGTCCTTGCGTGGGAGACATTTGGTGCAAAGCCGGGCGGCGGCGCTAGCCTCCTCGTAGGTGGCGTATTTCGGCTCGGCCGCCGTGGGGTCCTTGCAAGGCTTGGACTTGTATTTGGCCTTGGCCTTGGCCTTGGCCATCGCCGCGTCGTCGTCGCTCGCCTCCTTGAGTTCACTGATGAGCTCGTTCCCTCGAGCGACCACGGCGTGGAGAGCTGCGGGCATTTGGCGGCCCTCGCCGCGGATCTCGCGCAGGGCGCGCTCGATCCAGCGACTTGCCCAGGGGCCCCAGCTCCAATCGTCTACTTGGCACCGTCTGTTGTTCGGTGCTGGGCAGTGCTCGCCAGGGCCAATGGCGCCGAGCTTGCGGAGGATCCTCGTGGCGCCCCTGGGAGGCCACGTGCGAACCCTACCCGCGATTTCTGAATAGGAGGAGGGCGGGGCGCACTTCGCTCGGCAGCTCCCGAGCAAAGTGAACCCCACCATCCCCCCTCAGAAATTGCGGGGTGTAGTCGTGAGCTCGCATGTGGCCCTTTTGGGCCTGCTTGGCGTTCTCGGACGGCTGCTCGAGGGCGTCGCGGTGATCCACCTCGACGCCGCCCCCCCGTCGATCCTCGAGACCTGGCGGGAATTGCCGCAAGTGCCCCCTGCCCAGGGCGCCCCCAGGATTCGCTCCAAACCGCACCGAAACGCTGGAGGCACCCTGGGGTGGGGTGGGGGGCGGCATTGCTGCAACCGCCGACCTTGAGGTACGTGTAGTGCGCGGGCGCCTCGGAGTGCACGCAGACCAGCACGTGCTGGGCCTTGTCGACCCCCTCGGCCCAGCGCTTCTGCTCCTCGGGCTGCTGAGCGGCGGGCGCGTCCTCGCCCTGGCCCTCTCGAGCCCAGGCGACGGCCGCCGCGGGCTCGACCGCCAGCGCGTTGTCGGGGGCGCCCACTCGCTCCTCGATCTCGCCCCGCAGCGCGCGCGCCGTGCCCAGCACGAGGGCGTCGCCCTTGACGATCTGCTCGCAGTTCATGATCGCGTACTCCTTGGCGAGCGCGGTGCGGCGAGCGTGTCTTGTCTGGCGCCAATCGAGCTTCTGCGGCTCGGGGAACTTGTAGTCCTGCTTGATCGTGACCTGTGGCGCTCGGGATTCGCAAACGCTCGTTAGCTTCCGCCTGCTGCCGCTTCCGCCTGCTTCCGCCTGCTTCCGCTAGCTTCCGCCTTCTTCCGCGCTTCGCGTTGTTTCCGCCTGCTTCCGCTGTCCTCCCTTTTCCTGTCTGCCAACTTCCGCCTGCTTCCGCCGCCCCGGGCAGGAGCAGGCGGAATCTAACGAGTGCCTGTGACCCTCGAAGCCTCGCTGGCGCTGATCTGGAAGATCGCCGCGGCCCCCACCTCGAGGACGCGCAGGCGGCGCTCGCTCTCGGTGCCCAGGACTCGCCAGACGTCCTGCACTCTGCCGCGCCTGCCCTCGCGGCGGCCCCCCACGGCGACGCGCGCCACCTTGCCGTGCCGGGGGGGGGGGGCTCCTCGCAAGCCTCGAGGCCGCCTTTCTGCTTGGCCTTGTCCTGCTGCCTGGCGTTATTATCCGCTTGTTTCTTCTGCTTGAAGCGCCCTCGGCAGCC